GTCTTCAATACCACAGTTATTTATCAGTTTTCGTAAACGAGTTACAAACTGGTCAATGCTTTCAGTGTCGTATTGAGTGGCACGCCGAAATTGATAAATTTCGAACTCAGTGTTCTTTTTGGGAAGAAAGTAGTCTTCTAATGCTTTTATTAGTTTCTTGTAAGCGTTGTCATATTCAGGTTCAACGGGCATGGTTAGAGTATTGCAAGTCTCGAATAAGTCGTCGCCACCTCGGTCCAAAAGCATAGCTTTTTTCTGCTCTGGGTCAGTAATCTTCCAGGCTACACAGCTGTTTTCAAAGCGTGATAACCAACGTTTCCAACGTGGTGCTAATGTACTAGTGTCCCCATGGACGTCAAACGGAGATAACTCGGAAAACATGAAACCTGCTTGTGCTGCCATAATGAACACCAGTCCAACGAAATACGAGAGAAATTTTGCAAACAAGTTCGTACAACCTGATGTCTTCTACTGAGAAGTAGTAGTTTCTGTTGGGCTCACAATCCTCGTCGCCAATGTAATATCTTGAGACGTCCGTGTAGCATTTGGTAGGAGAGAGACAAGAGATGAGACACGACACACACTGAGTGCTGATAATACTGACACGTGTTTATTCAAGTCCAGGCTTTATATACTTGAACCATTGTTACATAATAGTAACACCTGGTCTAAAAGACCATTCATATTGAGATCACTACAGCAGCCATTTTTGTGCTAAAAATCATCAAAATCAAGAATTTCTCGGCTGTTTACAGATGGATTTTAGTATATACATTAGACCCTATAGGACCTTGATGCACATCATTTTGTTTTACGATCTGATTCAAGATGGCCGAATGGCAGCCATTTTTGTGCTAAAAATAAAAAAAATCAAGCATTTCTGGGCTGTTTACAGATGGATTTTGTTCAAACTTGGTATATACTTTAGACATTACACGTTCCTGATGCACATCATTTATTTTTCAGATCGAATTCAAAATGTCTGTCTGGTAGCCATTTTGTATAATAAATGGGCTTCTAGACCCATACATGCATCTCCGACTTGTTTTGACTGATTATATTCAAATTTTAAATATTCATTATACATCATGTCATAGATAAACAGATATATTGGTTTGACGATCCTATTCAAAATGGCCGAATGGTAGTCATTTTTTGTGCTAAAAAATCATCAAATATCAAGCATTTCTGGCGTTTTAAGGATGAATTTCATTCAAACTTGGTACATATCAAATATCAAGCATTTCTGGCGTTTTAAGGATGAATTTCATTCAAACTTGGTACATACATTAGACATTACGGGTTCCTGATGCGCGTCATTTTATTTTTCAGATTGAATTCAAAATGGCTGACAGGCAGCCATTTTGTTTTAATGTTTGGGCTTCTAGAGCCATATCTCTTAAAGGGGAACCACTCAATCCCATGGATTGCACCGAAGAATCATGGGACACTATTGTTTATGTTGTTTACAATGTTAATCTATCTTTTGTTATCCATTGTTATTTTAATCCAGAAAGTAAATTTGTTGTGAAATTAATCTTAACTGGAAGGTGCCCCTTTAAATGCTTTGACTGATTATATTCAAATTTTATATATTTGTTATACATCATGTTATATATATACATGTATTCAAAATGACTTTGAATGCTGTTCTAAAGCAAATATATCTCTCAATATGGGCAAGTACTTGTTTGACGATCAGATACAAATGTCAATCATTTTAATGTTAAAATATTACTATATGTTATACTACTATAAACAAAACTATATATCTTAAATTTGAATTACAACAACGAGCTAAATGGTTGTGATATGGCAAGAACATTTTGGGAACTGATAACCATGGCGAATAGTTCATCTTTACACAACATTATCAACTTTGTTTTGAGGAAGGCATATATATATCGTAATAACTTTTGTTTAAATTGTGGTGACTGTCTTGTGAATATTATTGCGAGAAAAAAAAGTGAGTTTGAATATTGTCACCAGTGTGAGTACTACGGTAATTACAAATTTAATACATGTACCAGTAGTTTACAATGAAAAGGTCAGATATCCATATTTGTGACTTGCGTCCTGAAAGTACTTCAATCTTAATCTATAGTAATCTGTGCAGCCTACACTGCACGCCCACATTGCAGTCCTAGAAACATATAGTGTGATTTGATTTGACATCTCTTGCTATTTATTAAGCTTCATGTCATTTCACATTATTTTTTTACCAAATTGTTCTGTTTTTCACTGTAAATCATTATCTATAGAAGATTGATATTTAAAACATGAGTAACATTACTGGGGAATTTGAGTTTACCTTAGCAAATGTGTTCAGTCATCAGACTTGTGTATTTTATTTGTAGTGGCTATACATGTAAGTAGATAATGCAATGAGAGCAGACAACAAATCGTGATATTGCGCAAATAACCATGTGTTATTTATTTTATCACATTGAACAGACATCCACCATGACAATCACAGCTACCATACATCACTCACACCCGCTCTCCTAAAAAATAACAACACTTATATTTGAAGTATGCAATATTTTATTTTAACTGCTATAACAAGTTTCACAGTACTGTAATGTGGTTAATTATTCAATGGGTTTTAATTTTGCTTATTTCGCTGAATGGAAAATAGCTAAATTAAAACCCAGTAAATATTTAAAATTGAGTATAGAACACATTATCTAAATAAAAAAACACATGAAATTCACTACATTCAATTCCCCACCATAGACTCCGGTCAGTCAAAATGACTATTTTGAACTGTAGACATTAATCAGCGATTCTGCCGGTGACGGAGAGATAGAATCTAGTTCATGATCTCAAGATTCTTTTACCCCTTACGTCACGAACCAACGTGACCGAGGCCACATGGCCGTGCCATAGGTAGCCGTCCATCACTCTTCAATTCTCTCCACCTCGTCGGGGAATGATTCTGAGCGGCTCTGCCTGGCTCTGTTGCTTTTTCCTGTCCGGGTTTCTAGCGTGGATCGTCGCCGCAGCCGCGGCATCCGACATTCTAGCTAGGATAGGATAAATTTTTCTTGTCTTTTAACCCTCGTGTCGTTTTCCCCTTTGTGTTTTATGCTTTCCACAACAAAGAAATTAAAACCCGGCGCCACTACGTAATCACATGTTGATTTCATGGCGGCACCTTTTACAACTGTAATTCGTGCATGTCGTCTTTTATTTTTAATGTATTTAGAAATGGATAGATGCACTGGCAACGCCAGAGGCTCTCTGCCGGTATTATCTCTTCAGTTTACGAGGTGGATGTTTCTTTTGGTCCCTGGGTATATTCTCTAGTACCGGTAGTTCCGTTTGGGGCTGTAATCTGTAATTAAGCCTAACGTGTAATAAATGAAATTTATTATTTCCACTGATTTTGTATCACAAACCGCTGTAACAGGATTTTAATTTCAAACTTTGTACGCACATATTACCATGAATGATAAGTTCTAATTCAAAATGAGTAACTTATTTCAGTTTTGTTCACTCTTGAAAAAAAGGGACTTGGTCATGTCATCACACGACTTGTTGACTTTCAAGTCCTTACATTCAAAGGTCTGTGATGTACAAGGGAAGTTCCTTACACTTGATTCAACCTTCAGTTCTGTATGTAGTTTAGTTAAATACTAGATAGTAAGCCAATCAGAATTTTCTTTTTAATTAATCTTTTACTCAGACGTACTTGTTGGGTTTGTTTTGCCACTGAAGAAGATGACAGATCAGCCAGTTGGACAAGACCATGTCGTTGTAAAGGTACGACTAAGTGGGTGCACCAGACCTGTCTACAAAGGTGGATTGATGAGAAACAGAAAGGCAATAGTACAACAAAAGTAGCATGTCCTCAATGTAATACAGAATATCTTATTGTATATCCTAAATTAGGTGAGTGAGCATTATTTGTATTTGATAATTCCTTCATTGAAACTATTCATTGAATCAAAATGTTAATCCTTGTTCAGACGAGGTCCTAAAATGGAGACTTATTATCCTTCAAAGATGGCTGTGTTGATCATGTTAAAACTCACACAAAATAACACAAAATTCTAAAGCCTGTAGAAAACACCATGCATTTTTTCAATGATACCTGATAATGTTGAATTATATATTTTTTTGGACAGGTTCCTTTGTTTATATTCTTGACACTGTGGATAAGATAATATACAAAGTGTGTCCATTTGCTGCTGCTGGTATCGTAGTGGGTTCTATCTATTGGACTGCTGTAACATATGGTGCAGTCACTGTTATGCAAGTATTGGGTCATAAGGAAGGACTTGATGTCATGGAGAGAGCTGATCCACTCTTTCTTCTAATTGGATTACCTACAATTCCTGTCATGTTAATCTTGGGCAAGATGATTCGATGGGAGGACTATGTACTGAAGCTCTGGAGGAAGCATTCAACTAAGATTCCGTTTCTCAATTATCTCTTTCCGGACATAGCTCCTGGTGCCCGTATACCGGCTGAGACTGGCCCATTGAATGATCCCATCTCTGCCACAAGGATTCTGTGTGGTGCCCTGATCTTTCCAACTGTAGCTACTATTGCAGGAAAAGTCATGTTTGGATCGTTGAATTCTAACTTACAGAGGACAATATTGGTAAGTAAATTCATTTCACCTACAATTCCTGGTGATTGTTAGTTTGTATCAAACTTTGTCCTTCACAACTATTGTTACCTTTCCACATCATACATGATACATCAATGGTTCTGTTCATGATGGCAGATTCGTTTCCACTAATCCGGGACTGGATCATGAATAGGACTTCATTGAATATAATTAAAAAAAGAAGGATAAAGCTGTTAGGACCAATAAATACAATATATTGAAAGTGGTTTTATGTAATCATAATTTATGTACATGTATTAAATATAACATTTGGAGCAATGTACCTTTTTTCAATGGTTAATCTGAAGAGAATGAGAGATTGTAGTAAATAGAACAATATAACCCATGTAAGAATAATATATAACAGGAAATAATTGTAAACTAATAGTAGCTGCTGACATAGAAAGTAAAGCAAGATAATAACACTGAATAAACAGCATGGTAAATACTCAAATGTCAAATCAAAGTAAACATTTACTGTGTACACAACTCAAACCAAAGCTTGCATAGGACATCTGATCACATCATGGCATGTCTTTCCCATGGCCACTGTGCATCCCCCAAATAGGATGCTTAATAACCAAGTTTATCAAATGCAGAGAGAATGAAACCCATCGAGGAGTTCCGGTCTGCTGCCTTACAGTCGCCCAGGTGAGGCCTAGGTCTCAAAGCTCCTTTCTATCTCCTGGTCTCCATGAGTCTTCCTCATCTCCTCTTTCCTTGGGGCTTCCAAAGTAAGGGCCATTCTGGGGAGGGCATCTGGGGGCATTCTTAACACATGTCCTAACCAGCGCCATCTCCTCTTCCTAACAACTTCTGAAAGTCTTGTCTGCTCAGCCCATTCCAGCAAGTCCATATTGCTGATGGTGTTTGGGCAATATACACCTTTAATCCTCCTCAGACACTTTGTTGGAAGGTGTCCAATTTCGTGGAGATCCTCTGGGTCATCTTCCAAGACTCGCACCCGTAAAGCAGCACATTCAGAACATTGCTTCTGAAGATCTGTAGCTTAGTGATGTGGCTCAGTTTTCTGGACCTCCAGACACTCCAGAGCATTCCAAATACTTGGTTGGCCTTGGACACCTTGGCATCGACATCTTCATCACTGTCTCCATCAGCAGACATCTTTTTGCCCAAGTAGATGAACTCAGATACCTCTTCCACTGGTTGGTTGTTGACGGTGAGTGGCTGGATGTTTTTTGGATTTAGCTTCATAAGTTTCGTCTCTGGGATGTTGATGCAGAGTCCCAACTTTCCTGCAATTGGTGTGAGCCTGTTTGCCTTCTCCTGCTGGTTGATGTGTCGGCAAGCGAGAAGTCCACATCATCGGTGAAGTCAAAGTCCTCTAGCGTCAATGTTAGCATCCATTGGATTCCAGTTCTCTGCCCATCTATTGTTTCCTTCATTAGTGAATCCACTGCCAGTATAAACAGGAATGGTGAAAGGATGCAGCCTTGCTTGACACCAATTTCCACAGGGAGATCGTCTGTCAGTTGGTTTCCACAGATCACCCGACACATAGAAAGTAAAGCAAGCAAATAACACTGAAAAATGGCATGGTAAATACTATGTCAAATCAGAGTAAACACCTGATTGGCCTAGCTTCACATGGTTATGATCAGAAAATGATGTATACCTAGCTCTCACATACCAGTTAGAGAACTTTAATGGTGACTTCACTTATTAGATGGTCTTGAAATAAACTGTTAACAGGAGTAGCACCCAAAGAAAGCAAGTCATCACATAAACATACTGGATGACACTAGTCCACTTCCTGAGTGAGGTTCAGAACATGAAAGTTCTAGTGTACTATGGCAATTGAAGGGTTGTTGAATATGTCACAAGCCAGGGAGGATGAGATCCCCAATGCTCAGCCAGTTGGTGTATATGTTGTTCTGTTGGAGTAAGAACCTGGCAGGGGACGGTAAACAGTGCAGTCAATGTGACATGGAGAGAGTGCCTGTACTTGACCAACGACAGAGCCTGATGAACAGCCTATTGACCTCAGAAAGAAACTTTAAACTCTATTGATATCTATGTGACATTTCATCCAGACTCCCATGCATTCGCAAGGAACTTAGTGTTGATATCATGAGAAATCTTGGCCATGTATGCATTTCCTCCATTTCCACTGGTTCAAGCGATACTAGAGAGGGTAGCAGCCACCCAAATATCATAATCAGAGCAGTGATCCCAAATTCGCCATTTGGATGGCAAAGCAGATATGTCAGTATTGGCACAAGATCACAGGGAGCTTACCACGAGTCTGACACTGTTTCAGTTACACTCTTGGAGGCTCTGCAGCAAAGTGTCTGACAATATTGCAAGACCTCAGTGGGGTTCCACCCTCCACCCTGCACCCTACAACTAAGCATGGGGTAGTTGGTGTAGTGGGGGACAGCAGGATTTTGTTTCACGCAAAAAACTTTAATATGCTCTTTCTGTTAAAGGACAGAGAACTAGCCTGGGGGCTAGATTTCTGGCATATATGAGCATTGATCTAGGATCAGATCTAGAGATTGTAATTTGGTCAAGTCTTATACTATACCAAGGGGGTTATCTGTAGCATCAGTCAAGTACTTAGATGCATTATGTAAACCTCTTGAATACTTGGCAATGAAAACAGTCCCTCGTATGTGGCCAACGAAATATGAAATAGCAGTCCACTGTGATCACTACCCTCTGTGGACAAGACTCTTTGACAAGCTCATGGTGAAAAAATTACAAAATTTGTGGGAAAAGAGGACCATGAGGAATTACTGGTTTGCCTTGTCATATAAAAAAATTGTATTGAATACCTTTGTATTTATCAATACCATCTGCTTAGTCTATATTAGGTTTACTGTGATATTACAAAAGTAACAATACTAAGATCGTTGGGGTAATATCAAAATGCCAATGGTCAAGTACTAGATTTGTTAATTTGGTCTAGTAAGCAGGCTGTGCAGTCAAAATTCAGGAAACAAATTTGTTAATTTGGTCAGAGGTTAGGTACTAAATTTTTAATTCAGACAAATCAAAGTTGAGTTGTATAAATATAATAGCCAGCGCAAATTAAATTGCTGTTATTATTTTTTTTCAGTGAGCCAACAGCTGTATAATTTTAATCTCATTCAAGCTTAAAAGCTTTAAGCAAACATTCCAATGTAGCACAACATTCTGTGAAAATATTTATTATATAGTTCAATGTTTTCATTTCACTTATTATTGAAATCAACTGAATCAAAAAAAATATTATAAATGAAATAAGTTTTGAATATTTTGCTTGAATAATTGTCTGCAGTGTTTGTTTGTCGTCAGTATTACCAATGTCAATAGTATGGATTGCTTTCCCATTGCTTACCTCATAGAGAGAGCAGAGCTACATCAGCTGACATGCTTCTTGAATAAAATCTAAAATATTTTCTATGTCTGTTTCATGCCTTCATTACCCTCAGCAGTCTGTATACATGTATATGCAAATAAAGGCCTAACAAATAATACTTTTGAGTGTGTTGAGTGTGAATTAACATTTTTTTTTACCTACATAATGTACTCAATTCTTATCCATCTTACTGTGACAGAACTGGAGGGACATGCTTACCCTCCCATTAATGTTTACATAATGAAATATCCACCACAGATTCAATTTCCCATATTGTAGTATGTTTTCAAATTCCGCAATATTACCTTGTATGCGCCATCTGCCCAGTCATGCCACCACCCACGCATGTGTAACATTTGGCCCATATAAAAAAAAAGAAATAACACCTCTAAATCTAATTCATGAAATCATCTAATTCATAATATTTAATATTGCTGTCTTTAGGGCTCAAAATGATATTATAAGATGCATTTTTTTAGTAGCTCACATTCAGGTATAATATTATTCTATTGCACTCCATCAGCCCTGAATTTGCATGACATTAAAAATTCACTCTTCATACAATATGGCACTGTAGGTCAGTGTAATACTAAAACCATTTCACATATATGTAACTGCTATCTATATAGAATTGTAATAAAATTATAATTTGGAATTGTACAACATGTATCACAGCTCTTCTACAAATTACTCTTCCTGTTGGCAAACACTCATGTTGTTTTTTCCTTTCCTTCATTATATGTATTGATAAATATTTATCTATTGATTATGATTTTATTGATACAATTTATTTGTATTATTATATTTATAGCATACATCAATGATTTGTTGTCGGGGAAAATCAGTCCTTATTAATTGCCAAATTTGCATAATCATTAACCAATTTTCAGTTTTTTCTATAGATATCTCATACCTCAGTGGGGTTCCACCCTGCACCCTACAAACCAATCATCAAATTTCAATGAAACTTGGTACATATATGCTCTAGGACAATGCACAGACCCAATTAGTTTCGGGATAAACTCTGTGCATACTAATTACCTAATTTTCATTGATATCTCAGGAACCAAATTGTTACATTCCAATGAACTTGGTACATAAGTGCTCTGGGATAATTTTTAGCTTTTTCACAGGTATTTCAATAAGCATTATGCATCATCATGAAACTTGTTGAATTTAAATGAATTTTGATACACAGGTGCTCTGGGTTATTTTAGGGTAGAAATCCATTCATAATAATTACCTTAATTTGAATAAATTAGTTAATTATGCATACATGTGCATACAAGTGCTCAAAACTGAATTACATCAATTTATTCATTATTTAAGTATTATAAACTTTAATACTGTGGATCCCATTGCACAGCTATATTCTTGTTTAAAGTTAATCTCAAACTTTGAATAACCAGTACATGCATTCCGGGCTTGGAATCTTATTATTGTCGTTTAAATCTTCTTTCTCTTCTTCATCTTTTTTTTTTTAGTCAAGCCATCCATGGCACAGTCCCCGTTAGTTATCAAATTTAAGATATATAGTTTTGTTTATACATGTAGTAATATAGTTGGAATATAACCATGTCAGGAATATGATTTTTTAATATTAAAATGATTGACATTTGTATCTGATCGTCAAACAAGTACTTGTCCATATTGAGAGATATTGCTATGGAACAGCATTCAAAATCAGCCATTTTGAATACATGTATATATATAACATGATGTATAACGAGTATATAAAATTTAAATATAATAAGTCAAAGCATTTAAGAGATATGGCTCTAGAAGCCCAATCATTAAAACAAAATGGCTGCCAGTCAGCCATTTTGAATCCAATCTGAAAAATAAAATGACGAGCATCAGGAACCCGTAATGTATGTACCAAGTTTGAACGAAATCCACCCATAAATGCTTGATATTTGATGATTTTTTAGCACAAAAATGACCACCATTCGGCCATTCTGAATAGGATAGTCAAACCAATATATCTGTCTATCTATGACATGATGTATAATGAATATTTAAAATTTTAAAATATTATCATTCAAAACAAGTCGGAGATATGGGTCTAGAAGCCCATTCATTAAAACAAAATGGCCGCCAGACAGCCATTTTGAATCTGATCTGAAAAATAAATGATGTGCATCAGGAACCTGTAATGTCTAATATATGTACCAAGTTTTACCGAAATCCATCCATAAATGCCAGAAATGCTTGATATTTGATGATTGTTTAACACAAAAAAGGCCACCATTTGGCCATTTTGAATGAGATCGTCAAACCAATATATCTGTCAATCTATGACATGATGTATAATGAATATTTAAAATTTTAACATAATCAGTGAAAGCAAGTCAGAGATATGGCACGAGAACCACATTCATTAATACAAAATGGCCACCAGTCGGCCATTTTGAATCTTATCTGAAAAACAAAATTATTTGCATCAAGGTCCCATAATGTCTAATGTATATAGCAAGTTTGAACAAAATCCATCTGTAAACAGCCGAGAAATGGTTGATTTTTAGGATTTTTTAGCACAAAAATGGCTGCCATTCGGCCATCTTGAATCAGATCGTGAAACAAATTGACGTGCATATGTATAATATGACGTATGTGTAAAGTTTGATTGTGATTGGTTAAGGCATTTCTAAGATACAGGTCCGGACGCACGCACAGACGCACGCACGCACAGAGGTTAAAACATAAGTCCCCGTTTTCGGACTGCGTCCGAACGGGGACTAACAAACACAAAGTATTTTACATGTGTTCCATTGTTCATTGGACATATGTCGAACAGTATGACGAATGTGCCACCTTAAATAATTTACCTTGGCTATGTCTGTATAATGCGAATTATTATGTCTGATAGTGAAAGTGTTGGTCCGAGGACGTAGAATATCTCGAGCAAGAATTGACTTGGTTAAACTCTGAAAACAACTAAGTTGACGTTGTGCTGAAATCAGAGAAGTGAGCACCTAGGAAAAACAGATATAAATTAGATTATGAAA